CCTGGAGAGCTTTGTTAGTCAGTTAGGACATTCTCTTCCTGACCTACTGACTGGTCCTTTCTACTGGAATGAACTTCGACAGTGAGAAGTGTAGGAAGAAGCTCTGGATGTAGGCCAAAAGGTTAGGACCAATATGGCAGGTCCTTCCGAGGAGGATATGGAGAAAGTTTTTTTTGGACAGGTTCTGGGGGCCTCACTTTTTTTATTTACAATGGATGTAATGGGAAAAAAAAAGTTGATCATTAAACTAGGCTGCATGAGTTAAAAGAAGTATGAAATGAAGTTACTGAACGGGATAATCAGGAAAACAATCTTTTTCTAGCTCTCACTTATGTTAAACGGTAAACTTTTTTTGCAAATTCTTACAATTTCGTTAGGTCATTGTTTTTTCCTGTGTTCGTAACCACCTCCCATCTTCCTTAATAATTAAACTAATTACGGAGAGGGTTGATGAAAGAATCTTCCCTCGATCTTTTGTTTAGCCATTTTTCAGATTCGAGAGAAATATGTTAAAATACCTTTTTTAACCTTAACCTTTTTTAAATTAACCTTTTTTATTATCATTTTTCAAATAAATAAATATATATGTATATATTTATATATATATATATATATATATATATATATATATATATATATATATATATTAGTTTTTTTAAGAGATCTCTTTTATATATATATATTTTTTAAATTTATTTATTAATTTTCATTTTTGTTTAACGTTTCCTCTAAATCATGATTAAATTGACGAAAAATAGAAACTCAAGTGTTCATTATTGTACAGAATAAGATTAAGAATATAATAATCATGAATAATTACGTAATTAATTAAAGATAATTAATCTTAGACAACACAATTTGTATTCACTTCTTAGTATTCTTTCATTAGTAGATACTAATAACATACAGTTTTTCATATCATTCTATCATTTCATTTTCTTGGTATGTTGTTTTCTATCTCTTTCTTAATATAATAATATTATCATAATGTTGTGATCTTGTCTTTGACCGATAAACGCCTAAAATTTAGGCCAAAACATTGGCAAATAAAAAATGTATTCATGTAATTAATTCATATATTATGTAATTCATGTTGACTATAATACCCAACCAACTTGTTCTAAAAGCAATTTATATGTATTATAAATAATTAGTATAAAAAAGAGTCATTATATTAAAATTTTCAACTATAACCTTATTCCATTATTTCCGAAACTTTTAAAGAATAGTAATGTTATTGCAGTGTAAAATTTTTAATGGTATGATAATAAGTAAATATTAAAATTAAACGATTATTTAAAATATCAAAGGTAGACAAGGAAACATTTACATAACATTATGTAAACTTTTGTTTTGTTTTGTCTAAATGTTATCTATCTTACTCACTACTGTCGAAGGAAACAAGATGTCAAAGGAGTCATTCATAATTTTTTTTTTTTTCAACCATTTTCTGAAAACAAGTCTTCAGGTAGTCATCACCACAAAGCAACCCAAATTCCCTTCGAAGCGTGAACGTGTCTACCTGAAATAGGTTTTGACGTGTGTGAAACGTCGTAAATACAGAAAATAGAAGATCTTTACTACAGAAGTAATGGTTCAAATTCTATGAAAATTTCGGATATTGACTGATTTTTTTTTTTTAATCGAAAACAACTTAATTTAATAAGGAAAATTAGTCGAAGGCATTGTATAATCTCGGCTTAGTTTTATCTCACGAAAATCACGTTTCATAGGAATAATTAGTTCAAAATAGATTTCAACGCCTTCTTCTATTTTCTCCATAGGCAAGTTAAAGGTATTTTCATAAAAATCAAGAGTCTAAGTTTAGGATAGGTGAAACTTTTAGATATTAAGAAGAAAAAAATACAAATAAAATTATATTAAATTCTTATTTTTATTGTTTTTATTCATTTGGTTGTTGCTCTTAAGGACCATTTGCAAAATTAAAACGGGTTATATTTTTTAATGTCCTCTAGTTAGACTTTTATGTTTATGAGAATAAATGAAAATTTCGAACATTTATGAATTATTATTATTAATACTTATGTGCATCTGTCAACTTGTTTCGAAAATCGGCAAATGTGCTGAAATACGAGAAATAATAAGATGGAAATAATAATAATATAGTCACGATTAGTTTTAGAAATTTTATTTAATTGTTTATCTATTTTTAAACTTTATTTAATCCGTTAGTTTCATTTTTGGGGGGGGGAGAGGGACTTTAAAATTTATTTTCATCTGTCAACGTTTGGTCAACTGTAAATGCAAGATATATGAATTGTCAGGCATGGGTGAGAACAGTACTCAGTACAGTAGCACCTCTTCCCTGACTTGTTTCAATTACACAGGTTGTTTATGAAAGGAGATCTCTCATTCATCGCCTTTTTATTCTCCTCCTCGTATTCAGAGGAATGTCAGCTGTTGCCATGTCTCTTATTTATCTGTTTTTTGTCCGTTTAAGTTTGTATAAAATCGTTGGTAATGGATTATTACTATTGGATAAATTGTAAGTGGATCTTTTTAATCTTATCGTATATCTGTGATGAGTATGTCCATATGGGTTTCGTTACTTAATATTTAATTGTCATCTTCCGGATACACGACTCAATTAAGCCTCATTGAAATTTTAGCCATGCCTTCCGGTCATCCTTCCCCCTCTTCCCATCTGAAATTAATTAATTATTTCAGAGCTATCGTGCTTTATCTTGTCAAATTGATCACTTCTTTTTGAAGATCTTCGTAATTTTTATCTAATTATTATACGAAAAAAATAAATAAAAGAGGGTCCTCGTTTTAAATCCATTCCTCAAAATATAAACTTTACGAAACCCTGTAAAATAAAAGTAAAAAACCAAAGATAAGAAGGTCGTCACTGATTTTTGATGCTTCAAGAAAATAAACCATTATAATAGTGTATAAAGACGATTTTTTTTTTTTTGGCCCGGTAACTTTTTATTGCAGGGAAAAAAGTAAGAATATATATATGTATATGATAATGAACTACAGAGGTTCTCTTCATGGCAATCCGGCTCGCTTAGACATAAATAACTAATTAAAGTTCAAATCAGATTTATATAATAAACCATGAGATTTCTCTCTTAATATTAAATTATAATATGTTAATTATTGTCGCATTTAAAATCATTCTCAAATTTTTTATATTTCATGAATTATGCATGAAAACAGGCATCTATCATCATTCTGTTATAAATTTCGTATACATTCCCACTTCATAGTCTCTTACCTCTGAATGATCCTGCCAAGTTTCTGAAAATAAGATGGTTTTGGGACCTTCTTACAACTTTTAACATCTTTTTGAATCACTGTCATATATTAATCATACTGCAAGTACATTTCGCTACAATTTGTAGTCTTCAATTGCTATAAGCAGCCTGCTAAATAGGAAAATAGCTGAGAGAAATAAAATATTAGATTATACTAATAATAAAGAAATAATCGTTTTTTATGCTATTCTGTAATAAAACTTATTTTTTTACATGCCACCTTTCGCATAAACATTAGCGATTTCATCTTTTATTTTTCTATTAGGAATAGAGATTTTTAATTAAATTATTAATTTATATATTAAAATTAACAAATGTAAATATACAACATGATATTATTTTATATAAGGATTTTAAATTGAAAAATTGTTTATCGATATTTTATTTGAATATTACACAGATAATACTCTATTATCATTAGAAAAAATATTTAGTTAGAACATTTGGTGTGATTCAATAACTTTAATAAAGGTAATACTTTAAGATTAATTTTCAAAAATTAGTTTAAAATGTTTCGTTAATTTCATTAAAAATAATTATTAATTTATTCCTGATACCAGATAAATACTTACTGTTAGGCGTTTTATTGTACTTAATGAGCTCCTCTTTCGCCCTTTATTTAGTAACCATAAATTTTTTAATTGTATTAATTTTTCGTGTAAGTATATAAACATGGTTTTCGAATGAAGAAATACACAGGTTGCAGTAAGAAAATATTTATGGTGTATTAAAAAAAACCGTTATTATTGGGTCTAACTGGTCCTTACCAGTAACGCGGCTGAGTGAGAAGCGCTGAGATCTCCTAGGGTGCTGCCTTTCCTTACACGGGTGGGGTGAAACGCTTGGCTCGGAGATCTTCAGTGAATGAGTTTTCTAAATATTTTATAAAAGGATGAGTGTATTTAAGGAGTTATTTTGATTAGTTTAGTTTATATACAATTATTTATAGTTTATTTTTTTTCTGTTTATTTATTTTAATTTATTATTCATAGTAATCCTCATACCAGACTGAAAAGACAAGAAATCACTCGACGTTTACAGCAGTTACTAGACGAACGCTCTAACCTTTCAATTAATTACAAAATACTCATATACATGACCATGATAAGACCTATTTGGGAGTTGAGCTTTGGGCTCCACTAAACCATCGAATTCCTCTCGTATCCAATCTTTACAATCCAAAATCCTTAATGCTCCTTACTTTGTAACAAATAAAATAATTCATAATGACCTGGATGTGTGTCCATATGTTTCCGATTTGGCCCAATACAGATACCCATCCTTCCATAATAAACTTCAGAACCATCCTAATCCTATCGTTTCTAACCTTGCTTCCTCCTAGATCCCTGATACCCTCCTAGGCCTCTGGAAAGAAGATGGCCTTGTGATCTCCTAATTTAGAAACTTTATTAGAATGCTACCAATGGGTAGATTCTCTGCAAGCTTTGTCATGTCACGTATTTATCTGTATCACATTTGCTGAATGTATATCAAATGTACAGTTGTAAATTTCATAAATAAAAAAGTAAAGTGAGTGTGAATGAGCTGCTCTTCTATCACTATTATTATTGTCTTTAGTTGTGAAAGATTGTAATATATCTCAATAAAGAATATTCGAAAAAAAAAATGTTAGGTTTATATATTTTAATTTATGTATTGCATAGTGTATATATTTATGCAGCAGTAGTAAATACTACAGAGCCTTAAAGGATGCATTTATAAAGACGGCCGTAGTAGAGACCGCTGATAACTGTACAGCCCAACAAAGGCAAAGCCAGAACCGGAAGGTTCGTAGCCGGCGGAGGAACCAGTTTGGAGGCCCAGCGGGGTCAGGTACACACAGCCTCTCTCCCATTCATCCAGCAATATCTTAGGCCACCTGTCCTCAAGCATTGTTCTTCCGCCTACCTGTCGTCGCGGTTCTTCACCGTCTTCGGGCGGGTTTCTTAACTTGTTCGAAGTCATTTAGTATTAATTTCTCCGATCATCCGGTTCCGTAGCTGAGCGATTATAGTCGAGGCGAAGCGCTATGGCCGAAACACCTGGACGGAGCGGCCCATTAGAATAATTGAATGGTTATTATGTAGCGGTGATAGCCCACTCCTGCCCGTTCGACAGGTGTATCACCACGAGTTGGGGACACCTGTCGCCATCGCGATATCCTCGTTAGGAGGAATATTATATTCATCACCTCTTGCTTCCTCAGGCCCATGTTTCTAGCAGGGAAAGGATTAACTGTGAATAATTTAAAATAATTTGGTTTTATTATCATAAGAAGTTGACTTTGATGACTCAACTTCCAAGTACTTCCGATGAAGTTCTTGGGTTAATTATTAAGCATTTCTTGAAGGAAATTATTCGACTGTTCTACATCTCATTGGTGATAAATAGTCAGGACGCAGTCATTGCGAATATTTTTTATTTGTGACAACGTTTGTTGGCATGTATTTGAATGACTTCAGTGTTCGAAACATGGTTAGGAAGAAAAAATAATTATTTGTTATATAAATTAGGCCATTATTCACTAACATTTTATTTATTAGCTATTTTATTACGACGTTTCGACCATCACTAGGGTCATTTTGAGTCCTCCATTAAATATCCATTATTAATGTCGTATTAATTTTTCAGAGAAAAATTAAATTGTCCTAATATTTAAGAGTTTCCCATACGTCATTTCTGGAGGGACTGAAATTAATAATGGATATTCAACTCAATAAGACTTGAAAATGGTCCTAGTGATAGTCGAAACGTCGTAATAAAATAGCTAATAAATAAAATGTTGATGAATAATGGTCTAAGTTATATAACAAATAAAACCTCAAGACACCAATCCTAGGAATAATGAAGAGAAAAGAGAAAATATTCCATTTTTTATTTTAAAAAATTCTCTTTTTATTTATTTATTTAGACATATAATAATCTGTCTCGTGGACAATAATTATAGTGGTATATGAACACATTCACACCATATATACAGAAAATATAATTTTTTTTATAAATTGATGATATGCATTATATATTTTTAGTTAGTATAACTTATCACATATTTCATGTATCATCCATCATTTTTTCAATTATTAACTATTCTCTGTGTTATAATATTGTATCGCTGATTGTATTAAACATTTTCCAACCCTGATGACCCACATGCTTGGGTTGAAACGTTGTCACAAATAAAAATATTCACAGTGACTGCGTCCTGACTATTTATCAGCCATATTAAGCAAGTCAATTTATTACAAAAAATTACCAAGAATAATTTTAATGCAGCCAAACGTTTGAGATTTTTTTTTACAAGGTGACTACAGAATCAGTAAGAAATATTATCATGTCAATGTTAGGTAAGATTGTAATTAATTGATTATCTATCTATTTCATTTCGTTGACTATTTGAAATAGATTGTGTTAGCCCTAGACAAAATTATTATTTAATTCTATTGATATTGTAATTGAGTGTGAATGTCTTTTTTTTATGAATTTTTATATTTTATTTTATTTAAAGTTTCATTTCTTAAGTTTTTGTTTATTTATATCAATAGTTGTATTTTTTATTTTATTTTTGTAATGTATATTTCACATCAATGTACCTCACATAGCTCTAATACTTAGTGTCCTTAGGTGTAGCAAAATATATTATTTCTTAATTAAACTAAATAAAAAAAATGATTTATCGATCTACCTAAAATGAACCATTTCTCATTATTTGAGTATTTTTTTTTTTTTAATTTCTTCTATTTAATAAATAATTTATGTACGATTACTAGTATATTTCAAGCAGTCGTAGTTATTGTTCTCAATTTTGGAGAGATGATTTTCCTTTCCACTGACCACTTTAGTCACTTAAGCCTTTAGTCTCTCAAATAAAGGTAATATCTGACCAGTTCAGGCATAAAATAATACATCAAAGAAACTCACACCGAATATAGTAGGGATATGTAAACAACTTAATGTATCACATTTTGGTCGCAACTCACAAATTATATTAAACATGTACTGCCACACTGCTTATCAATATTATTTTGTTTTATACTTGTTAGAAAGTAGTATCTCTTGACCAATAGCAATAAAAAGTTATTTTGTTTTATCCAATATATGCATAATTTATTGCCGAATATTTCGGCTTAATAATCTTTTTATAAAAAAAAAAAAAAAAAAACTTATAAATTACTTATGAAACGTGAATGTTATTGAATTTCTAATACTGCCTTGAAAACCACATCTTTCGGCAAGGCAATATGAAGAAAAACGTGACCGCCGTTTGAGGGCGAGGTCAGGTGTGCAATCTTGGTTATTAAGGGCTCTTTCGACTGTTACACGTCAAAAAACCACACAATTGTCCAACATTAGGTTTTCCCTTCACGGTAAAGGTCGGTAATAGGCATATATTATGGGTAAAGTTCCTGTAATAAGCATAAGGACTTTGGTCGATTGAATGGACAGATGGTACGGAAGGAAAGGCAGGCCACTGTGAATTAAAGATGTAATTATTGAAGAAAAAATACAGACATAAAATTATAGTAAATTTATGTCGGTCAAAAATGATATTATAAATGATAATTTTCCGTTTTACGATTTGACAGTAAAAAGAAATATTAGAATAATTTCAACAGATATTCGCTGCTATCTAGAGTTTGTACAGCGGCTATTGACGTTAACAATAAAGAGTAAAGACATAACAAAGTAATGAAATTTAAAGAATAAGGTAACACTATTTAGATGACAAAAAAAAAAAAATCATAACGTATTGTTAATTGAAAATAATTCTACTTTAAATATATATTACATCTACAATATCTGCAAGGTCAAATCAGTTCACAATTATGAAAAAAATACTTTTAAATTGAAACATTTATAATTTTTATAAAAATTTGGTTTGTTTGAAGATTTTCAATACGTATGGATTTGTAATAACTTCGATAGCAAATACAAAATATTATAAACAAAAAATATATATATTTTATAACATTTATCAATAAAAAATATATAATAAAAACATATTTCTATGAAATTAACATAAAATGAAGTTAAATTGCTTTAAAAAAAATTAAAGAAGATCCACATTGAATGAATAACTGAAACGCCATAAAGGTATTAACAATGAGTATTAAAAAGAAAAAGGAAAAAATAATGAAGAAAGTCAAAACTGAATTATTATGACTGAAACCTTATCATCTATATAAAGACGTTATGTTTCATAGAGAAAAAGAGCAAAACGTTATTACTTAAGTAAAAAGCAATCAACTAATCCATTAGTTCTCAAGTGATCAATTTTAAAATACTATCTCTTTTATTTACTAATCATTGGTGCACCTTTCCTCGTAGAACTTTTATGGTGCCTTTAAACATTTCACAAACTATGGGAAACGCAATTATCTGACTTAACTAAAAGCGACATAGGAACAAAGGCAAACTTGTTTATTTGTTTCTTTTGTTACCAACAGCAGATGGAAAGCATCAAAAACATTCGCTTAGGGAAAACTCATTTAAATGTTTGTTTTCTTTATTTGTGAAATTTCTAAACGCACCTTCAAATTTTGCATTTAAATTTTTTGTTGTTGATAAATATAAGTTTTTGATAGTAAAGTTTTTAATATAGATATGTAAACAATTGGACAAAAACTGACGTATTTGCTTTAAAATATTGATGTTTTAATAAATCGATATTTATCTATAATTGGTAATAGGTTGACTGTCGTGGATAATGAAGAGAAGAATAGTTGGGGTGGTCAGTCAAAAAGGAAGGCAAAAAATAAATGATAATATTTATTTTTTGCATATGCCGACGTTTCGACCTGAAGTTCAGGCCTTCTTCAGGGCTGTCTCCTTAAGTGTTGTACGGAGAATCTCATTCTCACCCCAACTATTCTTCTCTTCGATATTTATCTAATATCCCTACAACAGAATGGATCTGTACTTCCTTTCATTTTGAATGTTATTGTTAAAGAGTTGAATTGAGGCTGCATTGGACCTCTTCAGGCTATGGTAGAAAAGTTAATTTTTTCATATTTTATCAATCGTGGATTGACTCTAAGGTAGGGAGAACGTGTCCCTTGAAAAAGAGAACCAAAACGTTTGGAAATTGAGCCGTAACTTCATATCAAATAGTGTTCTCTCTTAGTGGTACTAGTTTTTTTTTTTTTCCATCATTGACGTTCGAACTTTTAATAATAGTTTTGAAATTTCCTGATCAATGATCAACGATGATTAAGATATTCATATATTTCCCTCAAGACTAGCAGTCCATGGCTTCCCTTTCCCTCAGGGTGGGCTGTTCAGAGGAAGACAACTGGGTATATTTAGATCGGGAGTAAAATAAACCGAGCCGAGGTCCACCTCAAGTCAATGTTATTCTTCCGCAGTTCCCGCTGGATATTGTCTCTTAGCTGTCTCGAAATGGATTAAATCCGTTCTATTTTGTCTCCTGAATCTAAATAGATACAGGCAAACCTATTTGTGTAGATAACGCTTATAGAGATAAGGTAGAACAAACAGCTAACACTGTATTACACTCCGAATTCAAGAAGTTGAAGAGACTGAAAAGAAATCGTGAGATAATGTTTAAATCTAGTACTGCATACCTCACAATGCTTTAATTGTTATCTTGGGAAAGAGACTATATTAAGTATCAGTAGAAACGAGCTTTTTTATTCTCTATAATCAAATACTTTATTTTAAATTTATCCAAGGGCAGCGCCTCTCCTCCTTGAAAGATTGGTCTCATTCGGTGTTGTTCTATGACTAGCTGTGTAGGTGGGTTTTATAAATGGGCTAATATCTACTAATAAATCCTCTGAAAGATTTTTGTATGTGTTCTTTAAAATATATTTAAACTTAGATTATCCCTGAAGATGCCTAAAAAGGCGAAAATTTGGATAAATATAAAATAAAAAAATTAGTTATCGAGACTAAAAACGCCTTTTTCTTCTGAATGAATTCACTTAATTTTTTTTTTTATCATAAAG